TCAACATCTTAATCCTTACTCTGTAAATAATACTACAACATCTAAATCCTGACTCTGAATATAACACTAAAGCATCTAAATCCTGACTCTGAAAATAACACTACAACATCTAAATCCTGACTCTGAAAATAACACTACAACATCTAAATCCTGACTCTGTAAATAATGCTACAGCATCTAAATCCTGACTCTGTAAATAACACTACAACATCTAAATCCTGACTCTGTAAATAACACTACAACATCTAAATCCTGACTCTGTAAATAACACTACAACATCTTAATCCTGACTCTACAACATCTAAATCCTGACTCTGTAAATAATGCTGCAGCATCTAAATCCTGACTCTGTAAATAACACTACAACATCTAAATCCTGACTCTGTAAATAATACTACAGCATCTAAATCCTGACTCTGTAAATAACACTACAACATCTAAATCCTGACTCTGTAAATAACACTACAACATCTAAATCCTGACTCTGTAAATAATACTACAACATCTAAATCCTGACTCTGTAAATAATGCTACAGCATCTAAATCCTGACTCTGTAAATAACACTACAACATCTAAATCCTGACTCTGTAAATAACACTACAGCATCTAAATCCTGACTCTGTAAATAATACTACAACATCTAAATCCTGACTCTGTAAATAACATTACAGCATCTTAATTCTGACTCTGTAAATAATGCTAAAGCATCTAAATCCTGACTCTGTAAATAACACTACAACATCTAAATCCTGACTCTGTAAATAACACTACAACATCTAAATCCTGACTCTGTAAATAATGCTGCAGCATCTAAATCCTGACTCTGTAAATAATGCTACAACATCTAAATCCTGACTCGTTATATAACACTACAACATCTAAATCCTGACTCTGTAAATAACACTACAACATCTAAATCCTGACTCTGTAAATAACACTACAACATCTAAATCCTGACTCTGTAAATAACACTACAACATCTAAATCCTGACTCTGTAAATAACACTACAACATCTAAATCCTGACTCTGTAAATAACACTACAACATCTAAATCCTGACTCTGTAAATAACACTACAACATCTAAATCCTGACTCTGTAAATAACACTACAACATCTAAATCCTGACTCTGTAAATAACACTACAACATCTAAATCCTGACTCTGTAAATAACACTACAGCATCTAAATCCTGACTCTGTAAATAACACTACAACATCTAAATCCTGACTCTGTAAATAACACTACAGCATCTAAATCCTGACTCTGTAAATAACACTACAACATCTAAATCCTGACTCTGTAAATAACACTACAACATCTAAATCCTGACTCTGTAAATAACACTACAACATCTAAATCCTGACTCTGTAAATAACACTACAACATCTAAATCCTGACTCTGTAAATAATACTACAGTATCTAAATCCTGACTCTGTAAATAATACTATAGCATCTAAATCCTAACTCTGTATATAACACTGCATCTAAATCCTGACTCTGTAAATAACGCTACAACATCTAAATCCTGACTCTGTAAATAACACTACAACATCTAAATCCTGACTCTGTAAATAACACTACAACATCTAAATCCTGACTCTGTAAATAACACTACAACATCTAAATCCTGACTCTGTAAATAACGCTACAACATCTTAATCCTGACCCTGTAAACAACACTTCAACATTTAAATCCTGATTTTCTAAATAACACTACAACTTCTAAATCCTGACTCTGTAAATAACACTACAGTATCTAAATCCTGACTCTGTAAATAACGCTACAACTTCTAAATCCTGAATCTGTAAATAACACTACAGCATCTAAATCCTGACTCTGTAACTAATACTACAGTATATAAATCCTGACTCTGTAAATAACACTACAGCATCTAAATCCTGACTCTGTAAATAACACTACAACATCTAAATCCTGACTCTGTAAATAACACTACAACATCTAAATCCTGACTCTGTAAATAACACTACAACATCTAAATCCTGACTCTGTAAATAACACTACAACATCTAAATCCTGACTCTGTAAATAACACTACAACATCTAAATCCTGACTCTGTAAATAATACTACAACATCTAAATCCTGACTCTGTAAATAACACTACAACATCTAAATCCTGACTCTGTAAATAATACTACAACATCTAAATCCTGACTCTGTAAATAACACTACAACATCTAAATCCTGACTCTGTAAATAACACTTCAGACACTACAGCATTTAAATCCTGACTCTGTAAATAACACTACAGCATCTAAATCCTGACTCTGTAAATAACACTACAGCATCTAAATCCTGACTCTGTAAATAACACTACAACATCTAAATCCAGACTCTGTAAATAACACTTTGTCATCTTAATCCTGACTCTCTAAATAACACTATAGCATCTAAATCCTGACTCTGTAAATAACACTACAACATCTAAATCCTGACTCTGTAAATAACACTACAACATCTAAATCCTGACTCTGTAAATAACACTACAACATCTAAATCCTGACTCTGTAAATAACACTACAACATCTAAATCCTGACTCTGTAAATAACACTACAACATTTAAATCCTGACTCTGTAAATAACACTACAACATTTAAATCCTGAATTTGTAAATAACACTACAGCATCTAAATCCTGACTCTGTAAATAACACTACAACATCTAAATCCTGACTCTGTAAATAACACTACAGCATCTAAATCCTGACTCTGTAAATAATGCTGCAGCATCTAAATCCTGACTCTGCAAATAGCACTACAATCAAAATCCTGACTCTGTAAATAGAACTATAGTTTTTTTTTTTTTTTTTTTTTTTTTTTTTTTTTTTTTTTTTTTTTTTTTTTTTTTTTTTTTTTTTTTTTTTTTTTTTTTTTTTTTTTTTTTTTGCATATGAAAACTAGGACATGAATCCCCCGCCGAGGAAATATTAGTAAAGAAACATGAAAATTCTTATGTATATAAAATTTGATCAGTTTGGTTCAGGTAAGGGGTCATAGTTACTAGGGAACAAAAATGTAGGTCAGATCCAGCATCCGAAGCAAATCTGGTAGTGTCCATCTTTAATTGCATCATCCATGCAAGTTTGGTTCAGACAGGGCTTATAGTTACTCGGGAAGGAAAATATGGGTCAGATCCAGCATCCGAAGCAAGTCTGGTATTGTCCATCCCTAGATGCATCATCCATGCAACTTTGGTTCAGGTAGGGCTTATAGTTACTCGGGAAGGAAAATATGGGTCAGATCCAGCATCCGAAGCAAGTCTGGTATTGTCCATCCCTAGATGCATCATCCATGCAACTTTGGTTCAGGTAGGGCTTATAGTTACTTGGGAAGGAAAATATAGGTCAGATCCAGCATCCAAAGCAAGTCTGGTAGTGTCCATCCCTAAATGCGTCATCCATGCAAGTTTGGTTCAGGCAGTGCTTATAGTTACTTGGGAAGGAAAATATAGGTCAGATCCAGCATCCGAAGCAAGTCTGGTATTGTCCATCCCTAGATGCATCATCCATGCAACTTTGGTTCAGGTAGGGCTTATAATTACTTGGGAATGAAAATGTAGGTCAGATTCAGCATCTGAAGCAAGTTTGGTATTGTCCATCTCTATATGCATCATCTATGCCAGTTTGGTTTGGGTAGGGCTTATAGTTCCTTGGAAATGGACCTGCTCCAAAAACTTAAACCTGGTCAATTATCTGGAAAATGTAGGTCAGATCCAGCATCCGAAGCAAGTCTGGTAGTCTTCATCCCTAGATGCATCATCCGTGCAAGTTTGTATCAACATGTGAAGTTTGATAACACCATCTTGAATGGTATGTTCAAATCTGAGCTAAACACTAATTTAAGAAAAGTGAGGTCAAGGTCAAAGGAAAGGCAGGGTCAAAAAATGTTGATGCAGTTGCATAGCTCTCATCAATATCGATCAGCATATGAAGTTTGATGGAAATATCTTGGATAGTTTCTTTGAAACTTAGCTTTGAACAGAGCTAAACGCAAAGTGTGACGGAAGACAGAAGGACGGATGACGGACATGACAAACACTATATGCCCCGGCCATATTCATGGCGGGGCATAAAAACAAGTAATCAATGATTACATAGCTCACCTCAACAAAATTTATTGCTAACTAGTGATGTAGCGAGTCTGAGACGAAGAAATAATGAAATGAAAAAATTGCACAGCTCATACATGCGATACCCGATGATTACACCATGTAGACAAACTGAACTCATATAAACGCTTCGCTCAAAAACTTACCCCCGATGTGTGAATGCCATGAATAATTAAATAATAACATATATAAACGCTCCATTTGAAAAACATACCCGATGTGCTATTGTAGATGTCGCGATCGAGACTATTACAAAAACTAAGTCATATAGATGTTCTGCTCCAAAACTTCAACCTGATAAGGTGATGCCGGTGTCAAAAGTATAAACTTTGTTGAGGTAAGCTAAATGAAACCCACCACCATTCATGCATAAATAAACAACTTACCTCAGCCTCCAGCTGGACTGAGGTAATGGACCGAGGCACTGAGTCGAGGCAGATCTTGTGGCAGACAGAGTTTTGTGTGCAGATATGACTTCAAACAAGAAACTTTGCAAATATAAAGCAAATAAACATGTCAAAATTTTAATACTGAAAATTTAAATGACGAATATATGATAAATAATTAACTACCAAGGATGAAAAGGAATGTAGAATAAATAATAAAGTTATAATTTACAGGAAATTAGCAAAATATGCACCAGAATACTGCGAAGACAGAATACTTTAACAAAGATTTAACAAAACTCTGAGAAAAAAATCCAGACCATACATGTAATATCAAATGCATCATGGATATCAATGAATAGGTGAGGAGAAAGGTATTAGAAGAGCCCAGTTACCACAGGAAAATAGGAGAAAAGAATCCAGTCACCACAGAAAAAATAACGAAAAGAACCCATGCCCACTTCGTCTAAATAGCGGTGTGTGCAAAAAATATTTAGACAAAGCGTTCATGAGTTATATAAAGAAAAGAAAGAACCCAGTCACCATGGAAAAAGGGGAATGAACCCAGTCACCAGGAAATGTTAAACCCATGCCCACTTCGTCTAAATAGCGGTGTGTGCAAAAAATATTTAGACAAAGCGTTCATGAGTTATAAAGAAAAGAAAGAACCCAGTCACCATGGAAAAAGGGGAATGAACCCAGTCACCAGGAAATGTTAAACCCATGCCCACTTCGTCTAAATAGCGGTGTGTGCAAAAAATATTTAGACAAAGCGTTCATGAGTTATAAAGAAAGGAAAGAACCCAGTCACCATGGAAAAAGGAGAATGAACCCAGTCACCAGGAAATGTTAAACCCATGCCCACTTCGTCTAAATAGCGGTGTGTGCAAAAAATATTTAGACAAAGCGTTCATGAGTTATAAAGAAAGGAAAGAACCCAGTCACCATGGAAAAAGGGAATGAACCCAGTCACCAGGAAATGTTAAACCCATGCCCACTTCGTCTAAATAGCGGTGTGTGCAAAAAATATTTAGACAAAGCGTTCATGAGTTATAAAGAAAGGAAAGAACCCAGTCACCATGGAAAAAAGGGAATGAACCCAGTCACCAGGAAATGTTAAACCCATGCCCACTTCGTCTAAATAGCGGTGTGTGCAAAAAATATTTAGACAAAGCGTTCATGAGTTATAAAGAAAGGAAAGAACCCAGTCACCATGGAAAAAGGAGAATGAACCCAGTCACCAGGAAATGTTAAACCCATGCCCACTTCGTCTAAATAGCGGTGTGTGCAAAAAATATTTAGACAAAGCGTTCATGAGTTATAAAGAAAGGAAAGAACCCAGTCACCATGGAAAAAAGGGAATGAACCCAGTCACCAGGAAATGTTAAACCCATGCCCACTTCGTCTAAATAGCGGTGTGTGCAAAAAATATTTAGACAAAGCGTTCATGAGTTATGGAGAAAGGAGGAAAAGAACCCAGTCACCATGGAAAAAAAGGAAGGTGGAAAAAAAACCATCACCATGGAAAAAAAGAGAGAAGGGGAAGAAATAGAAAGAGACACCACTCACCAACACCATGATGCCTACAATCTCCTACATACCCACTGGTGGTGGCTGATCCTGGGGAATCACTTCCAGTGGAGGCCAGCATCGAAATGGAAGCCAGGACGGATGACCTCCAGCAGCCTGAGGAGATAGCGATACCGTCTCCCAGGCCCATGCAAGACCATGATCATTCAGAGAGGTAGCTATTACAAACTGAGAGGAGGGCATGGCCATCCCCTTAGTTTGTTCAAGCTCCATCTCTGGAAGATCAATCACAGGCTTGGGAGCTGGCGCTGCAATCCCCTCACCCTGCTCAGGATCCTCCTGAGGGTGAACTATCACAGACTGACAAGATGGCGATGCCACCTCTTCAGTTTGTTCAAGCTCCTCCTCAGGAAGATCAAGCTCAGGCATGGAAGAAGGCAGTGCCATCTCCTGAGTCTGCTGGAGAGCATCTCCAGCCCCCACCCTCTGCTGCCTGATGGACTTCCGCACCTAAAAAGAGAAAAAGAGTGTCAGAAACATGTCACAATATTAAATCTATTACTATACAGAACCTCCAGTTGCATAGTATCCATGGACAACAAAAAGAAAATGGTTAATAGCATTTCATTTCTATTTGAAGCCTTTGAAGTATCCTGTATATTTAGCATATTGTTTAGATAAAGTAAAGAAATCCCAAAAGGTCATCATATTCTACACTCTGAGAACCTACATGTAAGATGCAGCAACTGACAAAGTGTGATGACCAAAAGCTACCTAGTATCTTTAATATTCAGATATATAGCCAAGAGATTACAAAAGGTCTAATTAACCTCTTTTTCATAAACATACTTCAAGACCTGCCACAGTTCAAGGTAGTTCAGTTGGTAGAGTGCTTGCTCTGTGATTGGGAGGTCATGAGTTCAATTGCAGTACAGTTAAGGTTACACATGGAAATATTGGTGAATTTTTTGGATAAAAAATACAATAATGGACAATTCTCTTTAAGGACTTTACTGGTATCAGAAAAATGTGATGGGGTTCAAATCTACATGATGAGGATCTATAAACTTTATTTAGAGGTCATTTATAAATTCCATTGCATAAGGCATAACCAAGTTAAAATTGCTCGTCTTTAGAAATGAAATCACTGGTCTTTCTGATATGACCTTAAAAACATAGGTCCCATGTTACGGTAGGCATTGGCACGTTGAGGAACCCTCACTGCTAAATGACCTTGAGTGCCGAGTATAGGTCTAAATTTGGCGCCCTTCATTGGCATACTGTGACTTCTCTATATAAATGAAAAATTCTTAAATGGGACACTATCAATCAATCATTTTCACCATATAATCATTAGAGCCCAACCCTAGCACCAGAAACCCTAACTCTGGGCCTTGAAATTCACAATTTAGGTAGAGGGCTAAATGTTTATTACAATCCTAACAACAGTT